CCTCCTCCTCCTCCTCCTCCTCCCCGTCCTCCCCCTCCCTTTGTCCGCCGACCGGCCTGCCGCGACCCGGCCCCGCGGGGCGGCGCCCGCAGAGGCTGCGCGGAGGCGCGCTCCCGCGGGCGGCCTGCCACCAATGGGCCTCCAGCTGGCGGCGCGCAGAGGGGGGGGGCAGGGGGAGCCAGGGAGGCTTCTTAGGAGCACCCCTGGCTTGTAGGGAGAGGGTGAGGGGGGGGGAGGGGGGGGGGAGGGGGGGAAGGGGGAGGAGGGGGAGGGGGAGGGGGGTGGGGCAAGCTATGTGCGCTCGCGTCATATCTGACATCCTACCCCTCCCTCCCATCCCTTACCATGGCGCTGATTTTCTGTATCCGCGGACGCGTGTCGTAGCGGACCTGTGGCTCCGTGCGCGCGTGCGTAGTGGGTGGTGGTGCGCGTGCGTGCGTGCGTGTGTGCGTGGTTGTGGATGTGGTTGTGGTTGTGGTTGTGGTTGTGGTTGTGGTTGTGGTTGTGGTGGTGGTGGTGGTGTTGGTGTTGGTGTTGGTGTTGGTGTTGGTGTTGGTGTTGGTGTTGGTGTTGTTGGTGTTGGTGTTGTTGGTGGTGGTGGTGGTGGTGGTGGTGGTGGTGGTGGTGGTGGTGGTGGTGGTGGTATGTGTGTGCGTGTGTGTGCGCGTGTGCTGTGGTGTGACGTGGTGTGGCGTCTTGGTGGTATGGTGGTGGGCCAGGTGCGTGCGTGCGTGATGGCGGTGGTGGTGGTGGCGGTGGTGGTTTGGTGGTGTGTGTGTGCGTGTGCGTGCGTGTGTATGTGTGTGCGTGCGTGCGTGTGTGTCTGTGTGCGCGCGCGTGTGATGTGGTGTGACGCGGTGTAGTGTGGTGGTGGTGGGTGGGGTAGTGGGGTGGTGGTGGCGGTGCGCGTGCGTGCGTGCGTGCGTGCGTTGGTGGATGGAGGTGGCGGTGGGCGGGGCGGGGCGCGGTGCGGTGGTGGCGGGCGGATGGGCGCGCGAGAAAGAGGCCCGCGCTGGGGCGAGAACGCCATCCTGAACGACGGAGGCAAAACACCGATCCGAAAACGAGACCCACGCTGCAGCGGGAGCACGCTTCGGAACGAGCGGGGCCCGAAAATGAGGCCAGCGCCTCAGCGAGAGCAGCATTTTGGAAAAAAATGCAGGCGAAAACCCAACTCCGGGGAAACCTGTGTGTAAAAAAACAGTACGCGGGGGGGGGGGGGCGGCTACTCCCAAGACGTCATCAGGGGAAGAGGGAGAGTAGTATTCATATTGAGTAATTGTGGAGGCTCCTTAGAGTGAGCACCGTTCAACCGATCCCCATCCCTGGCTGCGTGGCCTGGGCCCCACTGGCCGAGTTGCCCCCCATGGGCCGTTCCCTTCGGGCTTCGGAGGGGCGCGTCCCCGACTTGGGGGGGTACTCTGGTGGGGCCTCGAAGGGGATGGGGCTGGGGATGGGGATCGGTTCAACACTTGCCGTCGCTCGGACGTCCATCTCCCGTGCGTTTTTCGGTTTCGTGCGTGTGTTTTTTTGCTCGATGGTCCAGGATGGTCCTCGATGGTTCTCGCCGAGAAAAAATGCACACGTCCGAGCGATGCCAAGAACAATGCTGGTAGAGGGCGCGGGCCTGATCTGTGGGTCTGAGGCCGGCGCCTTCTACGAAGCAGCCTCCTTCTAAGAAGCCTTCCCTGGAGGCCTCCTAGATGGGGGTCCGAGTAGATGGGGTCGTAGGATCACGCCGCATCGCCGATACATCGGCGATGCATCGGCGATGCATCGGCGAAGCACTGGCGATGCATCCTCGACGTGGGCGATGCATCGGCGACGCCAGCGTGGAGAAACTCGGGCTCCGCATCGCGCCGCATCGCCGATGCCTCGGCGATGCGGCGCGATCCTCCGACCCCGTCTACTCCGACCCCCTCTGGGAGGCCTAGAGATTCCCCCCTCCCACCGCCCTTTGTGGGCCCCGGAAACGGCAGGGCCGTTTTTTCACCGCTTCCAGGGAAGAACGGAACCGGTCAAAACGGCCCTGTCGCTTCCCAGGGCCCACTGAGCCACCGCCCCCCTCTGCGCGCCGCCAGTCTAGCGCGCCATGCCGCGAGCGGGCGGGGGAGCCGCGGGGGGCGCGCCCCGGCGCGCTCGGGGCGGCGCGCTCCCCGGGGGGGGGAGCGGCGGGCGCCCTCGGGGCGCAGCTCTCGGCGCGCCAGAGGGGGCAGGAGCTCCGTCGGCGTCGGGTCGCCCGGACCCCTCCCTGGCAGGGTCGCGCCGCAACAAAACGCAGGACGGGGAGTTTTTGGCCATTCTCTCGGCATCGAGAGGCTCTCGTCAGGGCCTCGGGGCCATCAGGCAACGGCTCGGGATGAGAAACGGGTTCCAGGGGAAAGGCTCGGGGCTGCCAGGGGCCCCGAAAAAAAAAAAAAAAATCGGGACGTCGCACGTCCGGGCTCGGGTCATGAAAAAGTCACGACGGGAGGCTTCGCCCTGTTTTCGGCCTCTGCGGGCCCCTACAACGGGCCTCGGGGCCGTCCACGAAAACGCCTCGGGACGAAAAAACGGTCAGGGGGAAGGGGTCGAGACCTCTGGGGGTCGACTTTACCCATCGGTCGGAAGGAGTAAGTAGAAGCATGGAGTAGGAAGGCTGAGCAAGGCTTAGTAGATCTTAGCAGACCTTAGCAGAGCTGACCAATCCTTAGCCGGGCTTACAGAGGCTTACCAAGACGTATGAAGGGGCCCCAGAACACACACACACACACACACACACACATATATATATATATATATACACACAAATAAAAAGATCCCCCATAATTCCCATCTTTTCTATGTTTTTGTCTCCCCCCCCCCAATTCCCACATTTTCCCCATATTTTCTGGGGAGTCGACGATTCATTGTGTCAGTGTGTTTCTTCCCCTCCTGACTTACAGAGGCTTACCAAGACTTAGCCGGACTCAGCAGAGCTTACCAGGGCTCGGCAGGGCATGGCAAGGCCTAGCCAAGCTCTGGGGATTACCAGTGCTTGCCAGGGCTTAGCAAGGTTCAGCAAAGCTCAGCAGGGCTGAGCTTCCGCAGGCTGTGCAGGGATGCGCACCCTCACTACACCAAGAGACCTGGAGGAAATCGGAGAAACCCAAACAGATGCCCCTCCCGAGCATGGTTTCTCGAAATTCCAAACGCCTGCTGGCCACGGGCTGGAATTTCGAGGACCATGCTCGGGGGGGGGCCCTTTTTGCTGTCGATTGGCAGTTCTCCTAGATATCCACAGATCGCGGAGGTGTCGTCGACAAAACTATCATGTGCATAGCGATGCTGAAGAGGACAGCCAGTAGGACGCGTGGGCACAACGAAGCAGACACGCCAAATGCGCGCCAAAGCGGGCGACAGACACGCCAAACGCGTGGTTACGCGGCTGCGACGCGCCAAACGCGAACTGGGAGGACGATGACGGGCAAGAGGAGGATGAGGAGAATCAGAAGGCCGAAGAAGAGAAGACCATGAGGAGCGAAAGCCTGCACGTCTCGCGTCACAGACCGCATGCTCCGCGATCCCCTGGTCTCCCCAGTTGGGGGGGTCTGCTTTGAGCTGCCTGAGAGGGCTCGCAGCGGGGGGGCCTGGGCAACGAGCCGCCCTGCCATGGCCGGCTTTGGGGGGCCTGAACATGCACGTCCGGGAGGGTTGCGACCCCCCCTCTTCATTATGAAATCCTGAACTAGGGGAACAGAAAGTGACATAAACATAACAACTCGGAGGTCCGCGCCGATTTCTCGGATCCGCGCTGGACCCCCCTCCCCCTCACTGGCGCGCGGAGCGCGCCAGGGGGCGGCGCCGGAGGCGCCGCCGGGGGCCCCAGCGCCGATCCGAGAAAGTCGCGCGGACCTCCGAGCTTTGATGTTTATGTCACTCTTTGTTCCCAATGCATGGATGCGCCCCCCCACCCCAGTCCACGAGGCCGGCCGCGTGCGCCCTATCTTCGCTCCTGAGCGCTCCTCCTCCGAGGACCACGGCCCTCGTCGGCCGCGGCTGGTGGCCCCCCCTGGCCGTTGTCGGTGGGCCCCCCTGGCCCTGGTCAGTCACCCCCCCCCCCTGGCGTTGTCACGAGGGGCCCCCTGGCCGTTAAACGTGGGCCTCCTTTCTCGCATGCTTGACGCACATGTCCAGAGAAGCCAGCCGGAACATGCAAAAACAGACGAGGCGGAGCAGGAGGAGGAGGAGGAGAAGGAGGGAGAAGGAGGAGGAGGAGGAGGAGGAGGAGGAGGAGGAGGAGGAGGAGGAGGAGGAGGAGGGAGGAGGAGGGAGGAGGAGGAGGGAGGGGAGGAGGGAGGAGGAGAGGAGGGAGGAGGAGAGGGGAGGAGGAGGGAGGAGGGAGGAGGAGGAGGAGGAGGAGGAGGAGGAGGAGGAGGAGGGAGGAGCAAGAGGAGGAGGGAGGAGGGAGGAGGAGGAGGAGGAGGAGGAGCAGGAGGAGGAGGGAGGAGGGAGGAGGGAGGAGGGAGGAGGAAAGGGAGGAGCAGGAGGAGGAGGGAGGAGCAAAGAGGAGGAGGAGGAGGGAGGAGGAGGAGGAGGAGGAGGAGGAAGAGGAGGAGGAGGAAGAGGAGGAGGAGAAGGGAGCAGGGAGCAGGGAGGAGGGAGGAGGAGGAGGAGGAGGAGGAGGAGGAGGAGGAGGAGGAGGAGGAGGGAGGAGGGAGGAGGAGGAGGATGTCATGGTGGGGCCGCGAGCCAGGCGGGCCGGCGCCTGCAGCGCGCCGTGGAGCGGCCCCACCAGCTCGGGGGGCAGGTTCACGAAGCGCTCGCTGAGCAGGAGCCCGACCTGCGGGCACGGGGCACCGGGCGGCGCACAGGGGCACTGGGCGCCGAGCTCGGCGTCCTCCTGCGGGCGGACGTCGGACGAAGAGTCAAACATGCCCCAAAACAAATGTTCCAACATAGTCACAGCATATTCAAAACACAAACAATCCCCCCTTAACATGTGTCCAAAATAGTCACAGCATCTTTTAACAACAAAACGTTCCCTGATGATTTGTTGTTTTGTTGTTTTTTTTTGAATGTCCCTCCTGTAGAGGGACATGCCCGACTGAACACTGGATGCCCCAAGGAGCCCTCCAAGATGCCGCTGGGAGGCATTCCGCGAGACCCTCAGATTCTTCCCTGGGGCTCCTGGCCCACGGGCCAAGCACGACGCTTGACGAATTCGCTGCTCTGGTGTTCGGCGGGATGGCGCAGGCCTCCTGACACAAACAGAGTTACCGTTTACTCATAAATCTTTGCACGACATGTTCTACATATTGTTGCATGATAACATTTCTCCTCATTTGATAGAAAGAGCAGTCCTCTAATTCGTTGGTTATCAAAGATAATGTTATCAAAAAAAGTACACATAATTTGAAAGCTCGTTAACTTTACCATTGAATTTTCCCTGCGGAAAGATAAACTGTCGGAGGTCTGCACGGAATGCTTGGATCGACGCTGGGCCCGCCCCCCCTCCCTGGGCGCGCGGAGCGCGCCAGGGAGGCGGCGCCGGAGGCGCCGCCAGTAAGCCCAGCGAGGGATCAGGAACTCTGAGCGGACCGTCGAAAGCTCATGGTTGTGCTGTGCTGCTTCCTCGAAATGGGTGGGCGAGAGCGCGCCCCTCCGCAGCCCCGACGGGAAAGCCGCCAAGGCACAGAGGGCATGGAGAAGGTTGGCGATCCAGCGTTCCCTTCGCCCTTCGCCCTCCCCCCTTCCTCCGACCCTCGAAGAGGGGGGTGGAGGAAATCGCCGTCACACTCTTTCGAGACAGAACTGCTCCCTATGAATCAACACGCCCCCTACCCAGGCGACGGGCATCCCACCAGGACCAGTAATGGCACCCCCCCACCATCCTCGTCAGAGAACAATGCGCAGCCCACGCTGGGGCAGGATCTTGGGTCATGACCAGGGGGGGAACCGAGCAGCTTGCACCAGCTTGTGCAAGGGGCGGCGGGGGTACCCGCATGTTGCATGCTGCGCGCAGGGCCAGCACCCCTTTTCAAAGACACAAGACAAACTGCACCTCGAGACAAAATCCGAATCATGCGCGGGAACCCCGCGATCACTACGCAATGGTTTTTGACTGGGACGGCGAGGGGTTCGCAACAAATTGCCTGCTACGTGCAGGCCCACCCGCCGCTCTGATCGCCACCCCGCCGCTATGGCGCACTGGCTTTCAGCAAGGGTGATAAGGGGGCCGACACGTCTCCCGATGTGCACTGCCACGCGCGCAAGCGCACCTGGCACGCTCTGCGCGTGCCCCGAACGTGGCGCAACTGGCGCGACTGGACCATGCGGCACACATGGCGCACGTGGATCACGTTGCGCATCTGGCGCACCAGGCGTGCCCAGCACGCCTGGGCCACAGGGGTGCCTGGCGCACCTGGCGCGCGCGCGTGGCGCGCCTGGCACGCCTGGGGCATATCGCCCCAGCGTTGCGCACATGGGGTCCGTTTGGGTTCCGAGTAGCTGTCCATCCATAGACGACCGCTGAACACGCTGAGGCTCAGGTGCTACTTGTGTGTTGGGGAGCGGGTGGTAGTGTGCGAGATGGCTTGCGGGCGGGAAGGGTGTCTTGACCCCTCACTTACCTCCTCCTCCTGGACATGGACGGGGGGGGGCGCGAGGGGTTAGAATGTCCAAGATGGCCTCCGCGAGAAGGCAGCCATCAGTAATGTTACCAAGATTTTGGCCACATGTTGGCCTCTTGGAAGGCGGGGGCCAAATTGAGGAGTGCCCCCCCATTCAAGATGGCCCCCAAGGCTCCCAAGAGTAGCCAAGAGGCCCCCAGGAGGCCCAAAGAGGACCTCAAGAGTTTTGATGTTGTTTTTGTTTCTCTCCCCTCCGATGGTCCTCCTTCTCCTCTTAGCGGGCCAGGATGGCGCGCGGGCTGAGACACGGCCTTCAAGCTCGCATCCTCGTTCTGAACAAAACAGCAAGCAATATTTGCTTAACTTGCCTCCCGCCGCGCAAGTGCGGTCGCAAAACGTACACGCAAATTGTTTTGCCATTGCATGAGACGGCCTTCAGACGCGCACTTCACGCCGACAAATTATCGGAAACACGACGGGGGAGGGAGGGTAGGGCACTCTTGGGAGGCATGGAAGAGGGAAGGAAGACGTCGGACGTCACAAAGTCACGGTGCTGGGCTTCGCTCCAGCATCACTTCGGGGCATCTGGCCACCCTCTACGGAGGCTCTCATGATGTAGGAACGCCACAAAGTCACGGCGCTGAGCTCCAGACCAGCAGCGCTTCGGGGCATCTGGTCGCCTTCTCCAGACGCTCAAATGTTGATTTCCTCTTCGGCCACCGGAATGGCCTCCTCCTTGGCCCCCGAGGCCGCCCGGAGACAGCAAAAGTACGAGACTCTATCAGGCACCCAACTGTCCCCCAACGGAGAAATCTAGCAGAAGCGGCTGCGCTGTGATTCTCTCTCGCCGCTCTGGCTGGCCCTCGAGTTGGATCTAAGCCACTGTTGGTTCCTTGGGCGCGGGTTTCTGGAAGGCGGGGTCACTGGCGCCGCAGAACATGCCGCCCTTGTCGGCCCAGTAGAACGCCGGAGAGGTCATCGCCCAAAAGATCACGTAGGCACCGTGGATCTTGAACGGGAGCAGGGTGTCGATGGGCCCAAGGGTGTTGTAGAAACACCACAGGGCGATCACGGCGCCCAAGTTCCCGCCCGCCCCCACCAGCGCGGATGTGCACGCGAGCTGCTTCGGGTTCATGAACGGCACGATGCCGTAACTGGTGCCCTCGGTCATCTGCACGAAGAGAGAGAAACCCAGCAAGACGGCCAGGGCGACGTACCACGGCTGCGAGCTCTCCACAGATCCGAAGCCGAGCAGGAAGATGCCCTCGAGGAAAAGGCAGAGGAACTGAGCCCAAATACGGCCAGGGAAACCGAATTTGGCGAAAAGAAAATCGCTGAAGATGCCGCCCAGTGAGCGCGCGAACAAGTTCATCAGGCCGAAGGAGCCTGCCAGGGCAGAGGCGGCGCCAGCCTCCATCTGGAAGTAGACGCGGAAATGGGTGGCCAGCTGCGCGTTCATGACCAGCTCCGTGCCAAAGCAGGCGCCGTACTGGAAGATCATAATGACGATCCTGGGGTCCTTCAGGCACTCCACGTAATCCCACATCGACGCGTTTGATGTCTTGCCCGTGTCGCTGGTCTTGAAGCGGGGTCCCGTTGGCATGTCCCAGCAAAACAGCTTCATGCCGACGGCAACCGCGACGAAGATGCAACCGGGGACGGCCATGGACAGGCGCCAAGCCGTGTCAGAGCTCGCGCCCATCGCCTGGAAGGGCTTGAACAGGCACCACACGATGAAAATCTGTGTGACGCCGCCGCCGAGGTTGCCCCACCCCGCTGCGGTCGCGTTGGCGGTGCCCACCACGTTCGGGGCGAACATGAGGGAGCACCAGAACTGATTTGTGACGAACGTGGCCCCCGCGCAACCGATCATCATGCGGATGAAGATGAAGTTCCACTCTGCCGAGATGCCCGTCGCGGCGAAGACCCAGATGGCTCCGAAGAGCAGGAGGCCAGACTGCACATTGACCGGGCCGAACCTCTCGAGGAGGGTGCCGAGCGCCACGCGCACAAAGATCGTGATGCCGACCGACGTGATGCTTGAATACAGGATCGTCGAACCGCAGTGCGTGCCCGGGCTGCAAACGCACTTAGGGAGGACTTCGAAATTATATTTCATGCATGCCTCGGGGCACAGATCGACGTCGTCCGTGAGCGTCTCGCTCTGCGTGCACGCGGTGGCCGCCACCCCGCCACAACTCTCGTCCCAAACGTCCTGCGGCACATCCTGGCACCCAGTCGGATTGTTATCCTCTCCGATCTTTCCATACTGGCAATACTTCTTCCCCGACGCGATCGCCTTGAACTTCAAGAATGCTTTCCTCTCTGGGTTCGCAACCGGTGGGAAGAGCTGGTTTTCGCAAGCGTCGATGCTGTGGACCACCTCGATAGCGATCGGGCTCAGGGCGAACCAACCCACGAACGCCACGAAGAAAGATACTGTCGACGCCCAGAAAGCCCGCATGTGAACACCATGCCTCTTGTCCCTGCCGAGCGCGCCGCACAGCCTCAGCTCCGTGGACTTCAACTGGTCGTTCACCCTCACCGCGAACTCCTGCTCCGACATGTCTGCGTGGCTCTCGCGCGTGTGCTGCCGGGCCAGAGTGACCGTGCCGGAACTGCTGGAGTCGAAACAAAAAATGCTTGAGCCAAAATGGCTACGGCATCCCCGAGTTACCCCGAGAGGCATCCAAAATGCCTCTGGCCATTCTGCTCGCCCTCCTCCTCGACCTCCTTCTGCTCCTCCTCCTCCTCCTCCTCCTCCTCCTCATCATCATCAGCATCAGCATCAGCATCAGCATCAGCATCAGCATCAGCATCAGCATCAGCATCAGCATCAGCATCAGCATCAGCATCATCATCATCATCATCACCATCATCATCATCATCATCATCATCATCATCATCATCATCCTCTTGCGCATTCGCCTGCTCCTCCTCCATCCTTCCCCTCCCACTCTCCCGTTTCCTCCTCCTCCTCATATTCCTCTTTATCCCTCTCCGCCTCCTCCTCATCGTCCTCCTGGTCCTCTTCCGAATCGTCCTGCGTCCTTCCTCTCTTGGGGAACGACGTCTTACCCAGCCCTCCACATCCCGGGTCGCGGAAACTCGTCAGGGCATCGATATGGATGGGCTTGTGGACTAACGCCCGGACACAGGACAGAAGAGCATCCTTCAAGAACGCGAGACCCTCCGAATGCCAAAACACCCC